TTTATTCACCCTGCCTTCGTTAACATACCTGATACTCTGACATCTGCCGCTCGTTAACTCACCTGACACACCTGACACTTTATTCACCCTGCCTTCGTTAACATACCTGATACTCTGACATCTGCCGCTCGTTAACTCACCTGACACCTGACGCTTTATTCACCCTGCCTTCGTTAACATACCTGATACTCTGACACCTGCCGCTCGTTAACTCACCTGACACACCTGACGCTTTATTCACCCTGCCTTCGTTAACATACCTGATACTCTGACACCTGCCGCTCGTTAACTCACCTGACACACCTGGCCCTTCTCCATCAGCCACATGAAGGAGCCACAGTGCTCACACGCGGTCGGTATGTTCATCGTCACGGTAGTGAACCGATGCCCGAGGTACTCCAGATACTGTTTCTTCTTCTTCTTCTTCTGCTGCGGCCGTCCCACCGCCGTCTCCAGATCCTGGGCACAAATACAACACACTCCATCTATCCATAACCTGCCACGACAGACTGCTACCAACTGTTAATGATTCTAATGATTAGTAATGTCTTAAAGTTGCCGTGAGAGTCAAAACGATTTTGCCGATTATGGAATCTGAGGTTTGCAATGGGCACGGCTCGATGCATTGCGGCTTGCCATGGAATCACCATGGAACAGTGCCGTAACTACCCCAAGAAACCATCTTGGAACTGCATAACTAACCCTCAATGATCCCGGAGCCAACCTGAAAGAATCCAAATTCTGTTCGAACAGCTAAAACAACCCCAGAACCATACTGGAACAACCCAGGGAACGACCCCAGATCCATACCGGAACAACCCAGGAATCCACCCCAGAACCACACTGGAACCCAGAGAAACAACCCCAGATCCACACTGGAACAACCAAGAACACCACCCGAGAACTGCACCGCAATCGCAGCGAACATTCCCTGAAAGTACGCGGAACCTCCCCGGAACATCCCCGGAACGTACGAACCTTGAAGCGGTCCTCCTTCGTCTGGTAGAGGCGCATGAACTCATCGAGGAACCCGCGGAACGCGTTGATGCCGATGCCGACGGGGAACGCCGCCGCGCCGGCGCCCTCTACCCGCGCCACGTTCTTCAGCGTCTGCTCAAAGTTGCGCAGCACGTCGTGGTAACACATCGCCGCGGCAACGGCTCCTCCGCCTCCTCCTCCTCCGCCGTCGTCGCGCATCGTGACGTAGGTGCTCACCATGTTCTGGTGAAAGTCGGAGAGCGCGCGGCGGAACACGCGATCGGCGGCGCCCTCTCGCGGCGGCCCGGTGGCGCGCTCTACCGACATATCGATGATCTTCTGGTAGACGAACGCGTTGAGGTGCTGAAGCTCGGCGCGGTCCGCGATCGGACGGCTCAACGCGTCCGCAAACTGCGTGCCGCTGTCTACGCTGCGGCCACCAGATGGCGCCGAGACGACCGCCTGCGCGGCGTCCGCGGGCGGCCGGCGCGGCTGCTTCCTCGATCTCTCTGTTCGTCTCTCTCTCTCTCTCTCCTCCCTCGCTCTCTCGTCCCTCTCTCATCAAACTTGCCTCCCTCTCTCTACCTGTCTATCAGGTACGACTAAGATCTTCATGCGTAGAGTGTGAAGTCGACCATCGACCGCATGCTGCATCCAGTGCACTCATCGACGTCGGCAAGCATCCAAGCGATGTGTGCGCCAGTCCTGCAGCGTCGCTTCTACGCGACGAGTGGCGATCGGGCCGCTCGGCTCCATCCAGGCCGTCGTGCGGCGCCACTGGCGACGCGCACAGGGGTACTCGGCGCGGGTGCTGCAAGACCGTGGTGCGCGGCGCTTGTCGCGACGAGGGAAGTACCAGCTGCAGCGCAACGCGACGGCTGACATACAGAGCGCGTGGCGCGGCTGACAAGGCGCGCTCGTCATATCCCGTCCGATCCCGCGCGAGGCGAAGCGGGAGTCGCGCGGGAGACGAGCAGCAAAGGCTCGACGCGCAACGGTTGCTGGCGGAGACGAGCAGCCGAGCAAAGGCTGACGCGCACACGGTTTTGCCGCGGAGACGAGCAGGTCGAGAGGCCTGACGCGCACGACCCTAACGGTTGAACGCTGGAGACGGCGGTTCGAGCTGGAGACGCGATCCACCGTGGAGATGCGCGACACGTCGCCGTTCCGCCGTGACGACGCAAGCGACAGCACGTGCAGGCAGGAGGACCGCAGGACGCGGGGGCGGGGCGGCTGGCGGCGGCGGCGGGGAGGGCGTCCCCCCCGTTCAGCCGCACAGAGAGCTGAGGAGGAACCTGCGTGGGATGCGGGCGAGCACGGCAGGCCGCGGGGAACCGACCCGGCGGCAGCGACGGACTTGGTGCTCATCAGCATGCCGGACCCCCCGCCGCGCCCGGACGCCGTCGGTTTCCGCGAAACAAGTCGCGCTCCCACGATCGACGAAGCCGGGCGCGCCGCGGAGACGGCCCCCGGGTCCGTCGCGCCCCGCCGGGGTCCGCCGACGCGCCGCGGCAGCAAGGAAGAGCTGGTCGCAGAGTGACGAGGGCGTTGACAAACCGAGCCAGGAGGACCTGCTCCCGGTGACCGCCAGCTCCCCGGCACGAGCGCGACTTGCCGAGGACCAAGCAGCGGCATCCTCGAGGACGCCGACGACGGGAGCCGGACGCGCCAGGGGGCGCTGGCGGCGACGGCGACGGTCGGCGGCGGAGGGACTGACGCGCGTTCGGCAAGTCGGCAGCGCGGGAGCGATCGTCGACGAGACGCCGTGCAGGAGGCGCGCCGACTCGCGAAAGGGACACAAATGAAGAACGTCGCAGTCGGTTCTCCGTCGTCGTCGGGACGCCGCCGGACCAGGAGGAGGCGCGTCGCGGCGATCGTACGAGGGCAAGCCGCGGCGGTGCCGTGACCTCGTCGGCAGCTTTCCGCGAAAACAGCTGATGGTGCGCCGCAGCGCGCGTCGGGCCGGGGTCGCCCGGCCGTTGGCGGCGATGATCGCCATCGGACGCAGCGGGAGAACTGCACAAGGCGATCCGCCGGGCAAGCTGGAGTCCGCCGGACGTCGCGCGGCAAGCGGCCAACGCCCGGGAAGTCGCACACAGGGGTGCGCGGACGGGCTGGTCGCGCTGAAGCAGAACATCCGCAGCGTGATTCGGGCGGCTCCGCGAGCCGAAGCCACGAGAGGA